GGACTCATAATGATAGATCCTTTGCCACTTCAACTGTGCGGGGTTCCAGCAGACTTTTCCACACAGGGTAGGTTTGCTTGGCTTGGCTCTCCTTCAGGTTTGCCTATGCAGGAGTGTGGGTTTAAAAATGTCTTCCTGGCCACAGCCCAGTAACATATATATTGAGCATTTCTTAGTGTTAACGCAGTAAGTCAAAGACAAAGTTAACTTTTCATTGTGCTAAAGTGAAATGTATTTCATCTCTCAACTGGAAAATGTTTCAATTTTTCTTAGAAAGGGAAATAGCCTGTTTATATTTAAGCCATAGTGCTTAGAATGATCTTTATAAAAAGGCAAGGCACAGCGCTATAGTAGTTTAATTAAAATGACTTAATGGAGAAGCAGGCTTGGTGGCTCCCACCTGTTATCCCAGCATTCAGGCGGCTGACAGGAGAGAATCACCACAGGTTCTAGTCTGGCCTGAGCTGCAAGATGAGACAGCACAAAAACAGCCGCAAGATGTGACTGAATGAGGTTTTTATCCCTTTTATCTCATCTCTTGTTTTAAAGAGAATGTGTTGGTGCGAGCCCCCTCTGAGTGGTATCTCTGGTGCCGTCTGGCAAGGCTTCTGGTGGTTTCATGTGAAAACGAGGGCACCACTGCTTAGCTTACAGTGAGGACTGAAGAACAGCAGTTTGTACAGATTGGCAGATTTCTTGTCCCTTCTCCAGAGTTAAGGACCAGAGAGCCTGTTAGATGGAGTCCCTCTCTCTTGATGGTTAAGATCCCTGGAGAGCTTCAGAAACTTGTTGGAAGTCTTACTGCGGCATTCATAGCTGTAGAAAGCCCGAAGTTTGTCCTGAACACGTGCAACTCCAGAACCAACCTTCTACTGGTGGAGGCCTGCGGAGAGGCAGAGCCTCACAGTGCTTTGTTCTTAGAAAGTCAGGCTGCTGCCCCCTGTTGAGAGCCCTCCACCACCCTCTGTCCAGGTGGACATCCGGGCAGGCAAGGCCTGTTCTGAGGGCTTACATTGTCAAGTATATTTAAGTGATTCCATTCTCTCTAGCTTTGTATATGGTGGAGGATTTCCATGGAAAAAGATTTTAAAGTTTAAGTACATGGCCGGGGGGGGGGGGGGGGGGGGGGGGGCTGCTCTCATTTGTGGGAAGGAGTGCAGTGAGACCAGCGCCTCAGCAGTGCAGTGAGACCCCTGCTTCAGCCGGGGTCCAGCTGTCCACACCCTGTGGTGGTGTGGTTCACTGGTTAATTTGGAGTGTCAGGCCACCCTGTGTTGAATCATGCTGGACTGTGGTGTGGGATACTTTTTCTGTGCTGCTGGAGTGAATTGGCCAATATTTTGATCCGTTTTCGCCGTCCTCTTTTGATGTTAGTGGCTTTGGGGTTCTGGGTGGTGCTAGCTCAAAGTGAGCAGGACCGTGGTTGGTCCTCCTCCCCCAGGACATTGTGTGAACTAGGTAATAGTTCTAACTTAAATATATGGTAGAATTCACCCATAGGTCATTTGAGCCCTGTTTTTCTTTGTGAAGACACTTGATTGTTAATTCATTGTGTTTACTTCTTAGAGGTCTGTTCATTAATGTCTTACTTTTTGAGTCAGTTTTGGTACTTGTGTCTTCCATAGGATTGGCCTGTTTCTGGTAAGTTGGCTGATGTGTTGACGTACAGTTCTCCCTCCTGTCCTCCTGACTTCTGTAGGCCCCTGTAGGTTCGTCATCGGCACCCTCTTATTCCCACAGGTGGGACTTTGATCCTCTGTCCTCTCTTCTTGGTGGCTAAAGAGTGTCAGTGTTTGTTCTCAAGCAGCCGTGGGAGCTGACGGGACGCTGGCTTGTCCTTCTGTCCTGCCACCTCCAGTGTTTGCTTCCTTCTGCCGTGTTCCGTAGGAGGCTGCTGCTCGGAAGATCCCAGCCTGACTGTACATTTCCCTACTTTTGGTATGCTTGTCGTAGTTGATCCCCCTCAATTTTGACATGATGCGTTTTTGTTTTAGTTCACTTTAAACACTTTCTACGCAGATTTTTATTTCTTCTTAGCACGGCTTCATTAGTGCTGACTCTGTGCTGCATAGTTAGTGACATAAAGATGCACTTAGACCCTGGACCTAGTTAGCCTGTCAGCGTTCCGTGTGCAGGTCAGATCTGCCTGCCTCCCAGGTACTCTGGGCAGAGTGTCTGGACCCTCTGTGGCTCTTTCAGTTTTCAGACAGAACCACAATCAGAAACGCGTGGGGACGTGGGTCTGTCCTGGTCCTCAGGACTCCTGCCCAGTGCTGTGCAGGGTTACTTGCTGGGTCCTCTGGGAGCAGCAGACCACATCACTCTCAATCCCGGCTTCAGGACTCTGTCTTGGCTTTTTCATTTTGTCGATTTCCATGTCTGAAATGGTTGTTTAGGATAGGTTGTTTTTTGGTTTTGGTTTTTGGGTTTTTTTGCAGTTTAGGGGGTAGTAGGTTTGCCAATTTCATGCTGACATGGGGAAAAGTTCTGCTCCTTGTGATTTCTTTCATGTCTTTCTGTGTGTGTGTGTGTCAGAGCCAGCGAGTAAGAGTGAAAGGGGTGGGGGTGGGGGAGCGAGAACGCATGAGCACACACATGTGCTTTGCAGCAACATCTCTGTCCTGTCCAGAAGAAACTACCATGCAGTAGTCTTTCCAGTCCTCAGACTCTTACCGTCTCTCCACCCTATCTTCAGCAATGTTCCCAGAGCCTTGGGTGTAGGGTGTGTGGTAGCTGTCCCATTTGGGGCTGGGCACCCCTCAGACACACTCTGCATTTTACCAGCTGTGGACTTCTCTACTGGTCTCTTGTCTGCTACAAAATAACTTTAGTGACTAGTAGGTTCTCCTCTGGGGTCTGTGACCTCTCCAGTGCCATTCTTGGCTAGGTTTATAGTATCAGGCATGAGGCCCCCAGGTTGAGCAGGCTTAAGTCCAATTAGACGGCTGTTGGTTGCCCCCAAGAGCCAGTGCCACTCTCACACGTTGGGGACGTCTTGCTGGTTCCATGTTTGTTGGGGTTCCTGGGCTGGACATCTGAGTAGGACTGGTGATCACTTTGCTCCTTCGGCAGCTTGCATAGTGCCTTCCCACAGGGTGAGAGGTGGGCTTCACGGAGGAGGCTTTCATGTCAGTACCAGCTTGATTTTTCCAGGTGCTGTCTGAAGTGCGTGGTGTCCTCTGCAATAGGATCCTACCTTTATGTTCTGGCAGGCAACTGAGAGCGTTGGGAACAGCTTATATTGTTTGGGGATCTCTTGGACCAATAACTTGGAGGGACGAATGTTCTCCCTGGCACTGGGGTTTTGCTGGTCTATGGCTCCTAGGGGGAGGGAGCATTATCCTGCCATTCGTGGTAGTCATTAAAGCTCTGTGTGTAAAAGTTTGTACAATGCTAGGTTTCCTCTACAGCTTTTCCAAATGCCTTGGTGTTACTCACCCCTCTAACCTCTCTTCTCTGTTACCTTCCTTTCCCTCCCCAGTTAAGTCCCCTTACCCGATTTCCTCTTTGCACCTTCATAGCATTTGTGTCCTTGCAACATTTTAAAATCCATTTTTTTGGGGTGTTGTCTTACCTTTTTTTCTTTGAGGGGCCCTTCCATTAATTGGTCTGTAAAAGATAAGTTTTGAATTTTTCTTAGTCTGTTTTCTGTTGTTAAGCCTGAAACTGGATATAAAAGAGAGGTTAATTTTGGTTCTTGGTTCTCAAGGTTGGGAAATTCTAGCACCTGGTGCCAGCATCTGAGTTCTGGCAAGGGCCTTCCTCCCTTGTGGAGGAAGGTCAGACGGGTGCTTGCAGAACAGAGAGACCAAAGAGGCCAGATCTATTTGACAGCCTGTTAGTGTGATAACAGACCCATTCTCATGGGGAGCCACGTTAATCATTCCATGAGGTGGAGCCCCTGACCAAAGTGCTTCCTAAGTACCACTCGCCTCTCATACCACTGCCCTGCATTGGCGATTAAAGTTCAGCATGACTTTTGATAGGGTAAACTATAATTCACCTATAATTCACTATAGCTGTGAGGTGGGGTGGGTATGGACATGTGCCTCTTCTGAGGTAGTTTGCTAAGTCACCACCTGCTGTGCCATGGCAGAGCAGCCTGTGTGGGAAGGTTACTGACCAGCACTAGATTTGTGTCAGGAGGAAACATCGTACAAGTACAGTTACACTTTTCAAATTCAAGCATCCATTTGTACTGAGAGTCTTCTGTCCCACTCACCAGCCAGTCTTGGGAACAAGCATTGGAAAGCTGTAGGTGGCAGTGGACCTGCCCACAGCCAGTCTTGGGAACAAGCATTGGAAAGCTGTAGGTGGCAGTGGACCTGTCCACAGCCAGTCTTGGGAACAAGCATTGGAAAGCTGTAGGTGGCAGTGGACCTGCCCACAGCCAGTCTTGGGAACAAGCATTGGAAAGCTGTAGGTGGCAGTGGACCTGCCCACAGCCAGTCTTGGTGCTGCCGCCGGTGCACATACAGTAGAGTCAGCTGCCGGCTTGATGTGGGCATGCCTCATGGCTGATTGGCAGTGACTGAGACTGAGCAGCCTGGGGCCTGGAACACCGGGTGTCTGTTCCAGAAATAATTAGCTGAGCCCATGAGCTACTTCGGCATTCACTCACTGTGGTGCCCTGGAAGGCTGCAAGTGGGGCCTGCAGCCAGTCCCCGGAGCCAGGCACCTTCCGGACTTAGGCATGATGAGCATGAAATCTTTTTGCAGTTTTTTTACTAGTATAAATTTCAACAGTATTTGTGTGAATCACAGCCCTCTTAAGCTGATACGTTAATTAAAACTGTAATGATTTGAATTTTCAAAATACTGTCTTCAAAACCTTAACTACTGCCTAATGAGAAATTTACCTGCCGGCCCCAGGGAAGAGGCAGGTTCAGTTTCACTCTATGGATGAGTGGTTCTGCCTGGTGGTCAGCGCTGGCCATGGCCCCAGGGCTAGGCAGGAACGGTGGGCGGACCTGATCCCTGTGCTGCCTTGTTGCTTTCAGCAGGGAGGAGAGAGCGATGGCTTTTTTCACACCGAGGGCCAGCCCCAGCGGCTTCCCCAGCCTCCGGAAATGAGACAGCAGCCTGCCCGCAAGGTGACGCTGACCAAGGGGAGCCCTCAGCAGCCCCAGCACCTGCCTGTGGGGCCCCACCTGTACCCACCTATTCCTCCAGGGATCAAAAGCATCCAAGGCATCCACCCAGCCAAGAAGGTACTGCCTGTTCCTGTGACCGAGTCCAGAAACGGGGGCCCTGCTCCCTGTAGGATCCCTGCCCCTGGTTGAGAAAAGTTGATGAGATGGTTTTCTGATTTGCAGTGCTCGGCACCCAGTGGTCTTCAGACTAGTAAACCAGCATTTCCCTTAGTCTCGGCCTAGAAATCACTGTAACATTTTCATAGAGGCCTGCTCCCTCCCTCATTGACCCAAAGTTACAGCTCAGTGAATTGCTCATAACTCAGCATGGCCATGTCCTGCACCTCTGAACAGGTGCTGCACTGTGCAGGCAGCACTGGAGCATCCATGCTCCTCCCCACCAGCTGACACACCAGGGATGCCCCTAATGGAGAACCAGAGGTGCGTTCCTCATGCTGCAGCCACCTCCTGAGCTCAGCCTGCCAGCCAGGAAGCCGGGGAACCCACAGGCACCTTCAGCTACTTGACGCCTGTCTTGTCTCACCTCCATAGAGCGGTGATAAAGTCCTATTCCTTAGCTTCTAGGGAGAGGCCTCCTTTTCATTTTCAAAGGTGAATGAGCACCTCGTCTGCCTGTAGCACAGCCAGACCACCTGTCTCGGGGCAAGGGAGGCCAGGCAGAGAAGAGTGTGGCATTGGCTCTGCGCCTCTTCTAGAAGTGGGGCCCTGCTGGTGTGGAGTTCCGGGCACCTTGAGTGTGTTGTCTCACACGCTTTATGAGCTAGGGACCAGCAAAAGGACTGTGTGTCTGCAGTACAGACAGAAGTGCACGTGCTAAGAGGTGACTCCAGGGGTAAAGTGGCAGTTCTCTAAAGACCATCCCAACCACTTGCGGTGGTAGATCCTCACCCCAAACCTCACGGACCCTTTCTAAGAGGCTAGTGGTGTTTTTCATGGTGCTTGAGCTATTGAGAGAGTAGAGCAGCTGTGGCAAACAAAGCCTGGTGTCTGGCCGAAATATGTGCTGCTGTATTCGTGCTGTAAGTTTTCAGAGTCACAGCAGGAGCTAGTTCATCGGTACTGGCTTCTAGTCGCTGCTGTGTGGACCTCTGGGTGCACAGTCTTGTGTCCTGTGCGATTCCTGGAACTGTCCCCCACCTCTTCAGAACTCCCTCACAGGAGCAGGTCACCCTCAGAAGACAGCCTTCTGGTGGCACTCCTCTTGGCTTCTGTCCCTGTGGTGCCCGCTCATATACTGAGCATCAATTCTGGCTTTCTGCCTTTTCTTGTGAGGACTCGGTGGGGTGCATTTCTGCCCCTTTTTATCCAAAGCATGGGCCAGAATGAGGGTAGGACATGGTGAAGCCCGGCATTATTCATTTCTAGTCGCTGCATTCCTAGACTGAGCTAGAGGAGTTGGCGGTCACTCTTTAATTACCTTACTAGAAGAACATGCTGGAAATGCCTACCATCTTCTCTTTCTAAAGGCCTCTCAGCAGTGATTCTGAGTCTGGGGTAGCTCTGAAAGATGGTGCTTTGGGGACCCTCCCTTTGACTAGCAGACTGGTGTGTGAGTGAGTGACAGCTCTGCACTGGCTAGATGAGGCCAGGTTGTAGAGGTTTGGGGCTGGTGGATAAAGAAGCCTTGACCGTTGGTGTCGGATCCTGGATGCTGTGGCTCACTGTCACTGCTGGATTCAGCACTGCATGTACAGGTCTCCCTTGACCGCTGCCACCGAGGGAGGAATGTGCTCTGGGTGCTCGGAGGGAGTCTGCACCCCTCCCTGTTTTGTGCACCAGTGTCTGCATCCTTGCATTGAGTTTTCTTGCAGGAATGGTGGTGACACTGGAATCCACCTGGAGCAGCTGCAGCTGCGGAATGCGGAGCACTTGGGCTGTTGTTTCCTGAACCCCACTCTGCCTCTGCGAGTGGAACAAAAGCAGAAACCCCAATGGACTCTGAGGCACCTGCTTATTTGATACTTAGTAGCCTTGGGAAGAGTGTGTGCCCAGCCATCAGGGTGTGTCTCCTTTGTTGTTGCCAGGCCATCATGCACGGACGAGGCCGAGGAGTGGCAGGTCCCATGGGCCGCGGGCGCCTGATGCCAAATAAGCAGAATCTGCGGGTGGTGGAGTGCAAGCCGCAGCCCTGTGTTGTGTCCGTGGAGGGGCTGTCCTCGTCCACCACTGACGTCCAGCTGAAGAGCCTGCTGATGTCCGTGGGGCCCATCCAGGTGCGTTACCAGAGCTATTGGCAGTGCCCGTGGGCCATCTTTCCAGGTGAAACCACTCTCTTAGGGCACAGTGGCCATTGTGAGTTATATTGTGTGAAGGTGGTGCTGGAGCAGAAAGGCGCAGCCCTGCCACGCACCTCTGATTCAGGAAAGTTTGCATTGGACTGAATCCACAGTCTCAGTTACACATTTTAAGAGCTAAATACTCCAGTTGAAGGAACTCTGCTTTGAAATCCTTAAACTATCTCGAAGTTCACACATGTACACATGATTTAGTTGCGTCAGATCCTAATAGGCTCTCATTTTAAAGTGGTTAGCCTTGTCTTCCTGAAGCAGTCTCGCATAATAACAGTGCTGGTGCTCATTAGAGTTTACAAAGGCAGCAGTAACTGGGACTGTGTTTTCATGTCTTTGAAAATGAGCTGAGCCCGATGCCTAACAGGGCTGAGCTTGCTGCAGTGAAGTGAGCAGACACAGCTCATGTCTGCTGTAACTCAAGTCTCTCTGAAGCCGCATGTGGGATCTGAGGCAGAGCCATGTGGGCAGCGGAAGAGGCAGGGCACATGAAGACTGCTGCACTGCAGTAGAACGGGGCTGCCGATCTCCATTTACTGGAGAGCTCTAAGAGCATGTAGACAGAAGTCTTGAGAACCCAGCCTGGTGTTTAGGAGTGACTTAATTACAGCTACCTTCATGACTCCTTATTTTCATTTCTATTTCATACTGAGAAGTTCACCTCCAAACTTTGGCCCTCACCTGTGAGAGCTGCTGGGAACACTTTATCAGATGCTAGAAGTGTCAGCCTTGTTTTTAAGGATAGATGGTTTTGGTGAGCTGGGTGTGGTGCACACCTGTAATCCCAACCAGTACACAAGACGATCACAAGTTTGAGGGCAGCTGGGGTGCATACTGAGACTGTCTGTATACAGAGTGGTATGTGCTTTCTAGGCAGTGTGGGTGTGTTTGCAGGAGCAGGACTAATGATAGGAGAGTGTAGGTGCACTTACTTCCTGCTGGTGTTAGGTCAGCAGTATTGTTTGAGTGGAATTCGTAGATTTTTTAACTGCATTTACAAAATGCACTTCATAATTCAAAAGAAAAGGGAAAAAAAATGGTCTGGCAGTATTGGATAGGTTAAAAAAGCGACTCAGTGCCTGTGCCAGCTGGCCAAGACGGACAGTACCTGAAAGGGGGAGTGAGGATTGAAAGAAAAAACAAGAGACAGAGAAAAGATACATGGGAGGACTGTCAGTAGAGACTGCAGCCCCGGGTTATTTCAGCTCCGCCTTTTATACAGAAGAACATCCTAGACAGCCACCGTTTGCTTAGCTCAATTAGCTTCAACAGCTGTTTTTCCCACCTGTACCTGAGGGTCAAGGAGGGTCAGATACTTGTGACCTCCACCATATAAACACATTCCTCCTGACTTGGCAGATTAGGTAGTGGTGTGCAAAACACAAACTCAGTAAACAAGCCTGCCACAGCTTATGTACATAATGGATTAATAGCTCCCAACAACTCAGCAGTGTGACTTCAAGAGACTGATTACTTGACTGTGGCTTGAACATATGCATTAAAGAGATGATGCCAAGTGCCTGACCTAGGCTTTAGCACCACTGTTGGAGTAAAACGTCAGGTCTGTGAGCTTTGGGTATGGCACCACCTAGTGTTCACCCACTTATGGGAGTGGCAGTACTGACCTGGAGGGACTGTGCCTTTGAGCCTTTTGACCAGACATTGTAAAGGTGACCTGTTTTGAGCCTGTGTGCTCCTTGGTGACAGTGGACTCTGCTGTTCCAGGACACTGTGCTGCTTCTGAGAAGGCCAGAGCCACCGAGCATAGGTGTCCTTGTGTTTCAGTCTCTGGTGGAGAAGGTGCCTTAGATGAGGCTTGTGAGTACTAGCCACCAGATGAGTCAGAAAGTGGGTGGGAGGGGCCGATATCCGGTGTTTGAGAGCAGAGCCAGGCAAAGCCTACTTCCTTAGTGCGAGGAAGTGAATTCATTGTAGCTTCTCAAGCCCTCTACTGGAATGCTGCTGCCTGTTTGCAGGGCTTTGCCTGAAATTGTGTTAGGAAGAAAAAGAAGGTTTTCCCCCTGAAACTCCAGTTTGTAAGAACAAAGTCACTCAGCAGAGCAGGAAGTTTGAATTCTTTTGACATTGCACTGGCCCTGTTGTTGGTGACTGACAGGCGTGAGCCATGGTGTGGGGGTGGCCAGATGCTGCTTTCACTGTGTTAGCTTGCTTGCTTGTACTAGTTTGTGGACTAGATTGAAGCGCTCAGCTGTGGGAACCTCATTTCTTCTGCTGTATGCCCTTGGGAAGATGGCTGTCTGGTCAGAGCTGCATGAGCAGCAGGACAGCCTGGAGTCAAGGTCCTGTTTGCCATTTTGCAGTACATAGCCTTTGTCAGAGCCAAGTCTGTGCGGTCTAGAGTGCTGTGAGAGCCAGGACTCTGGGGCTTAATGTGCCATCCAACCACAGGGCCCCACCAGAGTGGACGTAGTAAAGGCATTCTGTCCCAATAGCCAGTTGCATTTGTGGGAACCTCCGTTTACCCCGTGGTCGGGCAGGGGTAACTGCCAAACGTAGGCTGCAGTTTCCTCTGGTGTGAGAGTGCTGTTCTTAGGATGGATGAGGCTCACCTTAAATCTCCTACAAAGTCACTGGGAAAGGAAGCCACTCTATCGGCGGGGACCTGCCTACATCTCAAGAGTGTGGGAAGATGGCATGGCCAGGTGGTGGAAAGCCTGAACTAGGCTAGGGGGTGGACATGTTCCCAGACGGACTGAGCGGCACTGCCTTGCACAGGTGCTCAAGGAGACAGGGAAGAGGGGCGGGTGACTTGTTTCTTGTTGCACACAGCAGCCTGGACTCCAGTTTTGTGTGGAAGCTTATAACGTGTAAGTGCTCGTATTTATGTCACAGTGACACATTAAATGTTTGTTTTTTTTTTTTTTTCTCTAGAGTTTACAGATGCTTCCCCAGCAGCGGAAAGCCATAGCAAAGTTCAAGGAGCCAGCCCACGCACTAGCGTTTCAGCAGAAATTCCACAGGTTAGCCCATGTGTGCTGCAGTTGGTGACTGGGGAGGCTGTGCTGTGGTTTGGGGGTATGCTGGCTGCTGTTGTAGGGCGCACCGGTAGAACAGGAGCAGGCCACATGTCCTCTCTGAAGACCACTTTGCTGTGTGAGAGGCCCCGTCTACTTCCAGGAGCTTTAGTTCCACTCATCGGGACCCAGAGTTCTGCTTCACTCCTGTCCCTGGTGGGGACTTGTTGGAAGAGTTGGTGCTCACTGTCTCTTTCAATTTCCACAGGCACATGATTGATCTGTCACATATAAACGTGGCCCTGATTGTGGAGTGATTTCTTATGGCCGAGTCTGACCTCATACTGCACACACTGTGGAATTTCTTCGAGGAAGCTGCTGGCCAGCACAAGCGCAGGATCCCCAGGGGCACAGGTCTCTGCCAACTTGTCTGCACGCCAGCCAGCCCAAGGGTGATTCCGGAAGAGTTAAACTGGTGGACTTTGGGAGTGGAGTCTGGTGTTAGAGTGCTCTGACTTCTGTTGTCCACAAGAACTCTGGTCCCTGTCTTTTGTTTCCAAGTGCTCACGATGCATGTAGATCTTATTCCTCGTGGTCCTGCTGTGTACTGGTCACAGTGACTTAGAGTCAGGAAGGACAGTACCACCTCAGACTCTAGTATTCCCACAGCAAAGAATCTGATAATGGTTGCACTTATCTTCAGTTCAGGTTAGAAGAGCTCTCAACCAGGCTTAACTGGGGTGGTCTCCCCAGAGGGCCCTCCCAGGCTCTGCTGAAAACATAGGTTAAAAATTCAGGTGATTATGATTGACACATAACTGCCGTGGAGAGCCAGGATGTGAGGTGGGCGGTGGGGTGGTGCCATGGAAGTGGCAATTGTGCTCCTTGTAACTGCCTGCAGGTACCACCTGCTCATACTCTCAGACAGGCACAGCGCTGGCCCAGCACAGGGAACCCCGCAGCCCAGAGCCAAGTGGCTCTGCCATGCTCGCAGAGGCTTTGGCCTATTTCCTCACATAGGCACAGCTAGAAGGTGGCCAGGCCTGCTTAGGCCCCTGCTTTTAAATGCAGCCCGGGTGGCAGGTGTGTGTCCCTGGCTCTGGGGCACGTGCTGTCATTGCTTTGATTACGTCACTATCCTTCAGGGGTCTGAGTCCCCTTTGGCTTGGCATTCTCTTCGCACATGGTGTGAGGGATGGTTAGCTCATAGGATGATGCTGCCCAAGATAAAGTCTGTCTGTCCACCATTAGTCACTGGGAGATTCTGTCAGGTGAGACTCGTTTTCCACAAAGCATCCATTGCAGAGTCCACACTGGGCAAACACTGAACGAGGAGTGCCTTCTCGTGTCCCCCATGAGCACTTCAGTGTTCGGGACATGCTCTACAGTGGGCACGTGGCACCGGGCACACTCAGGACCTTTTGGTTGTCTTTTAAACCTGTGATTTCATGTCACATTTCTTAGTAGGACGAGGGAGAGAGATGTCTACTATCACTTACTGTCACTATTTAGCCCAGCAAGGACCAGGCTCAGGACTTGAAGCAGCTGGTTTCCACCACTGAAATTTCACATTACATTTTCAGTTAAGTTGCCAATATTATTAAGACCTGGAGAAACGTAGTCCAGGACTGTGAGATGGCGTAGCATTGATGCTGAGGTGACGTCATGTGCCCACAAGGAGCGCCAGGGAATATGGGTGGTGGTTTGGATTCTAGGAGTCTGTGGCAATCGTAGGATGTTTTAGAAGACCCTCTAGCTGAGGAGTCACCTCTGACCCCAAAGCCTCTGCCTCCAACCCGGCAGAAGCACTCAGGGCCAATTTTGTTGGGCTTGTGGCAAGCCTGGCACCAGCCCATCTGTGTGCCATCAGCTGGTCAGCCCACGGTCACTGCCTACTCCTGTTCACTTAGTCATAGGGGCTGTTGGGATGGCTGGCTGAATCAAGTTTGGTGATGTGTAAACACTAGGTGAAAGAGATACCACTTAGAACCACTGGGGCATGGGAGAGCTCACTGTATCTTTAAAGAGTAGGGCCAGTAAACCGAGTTGGACAGATTTGTGCCACTTTCTCATAGTCTTGAGTGGTGGGCTTTTAAAACCCAAAGCTGAATTTTATCTCTGGAAAGTAGGCACCGAAGCGGTGATGTCAGTTAAGGAGAGCAAGCCCTCATTGGGCACCGTTGTTCACAGGCTTCGGGGCTGCTCAGGGGTCTGCATTTGGCCCTGTCCAAGTGGGATGCACTGTCCAGGAACAAGTGTGTGCCCGTAACTGTCTGCACACATTGCTGTGTCCTGAGAGACCAGCCCCAAGTAGGCTGGGCCTCACGTAAAGCACTACTCAGAGCAGCTGGCGGTCTGGCCTCTCAGCACACACGCCAGCGAGTGGACTCTGGGGACCAGGCAGGCCAGTGCTGAGGGCTCAGCTTCTGGGGAGCAGGCCACAGGAAGGGAGGAAGAAGCAGTGTTAGACGGCAGGGTTGGTTTCCAGTGCACTTGTCACCGTGAGGTCAGAGCAGCATCTGAGTGCTGGGAAGATCTGCTGCAACCATTATCTCTGTTCTTTCCCACCATGCCTATGAAGAAATGCAGGAGCACTAGCGTGTTGTGTAAATACGGACCTTCTACAAGTAAGCTTTCAACTCAAACAGCAGCGTCTTAGCTATTTGTTAGTTCTTTTGTGTTGTCTTACAAAGTTTAATGGAGACACTTTCTAATTGTTGACGTGTTTGCGTGTACATTTGATTTTTATAAAGATGTAGTAAGTCAATACGTTTATCCTCATCTGTGTATTATTTGTTCACAAGTTCAGCTTGAAGCAGTGAATCTCACTCTCTCTCATGAGGTGGATCAGTAGGTGAGGGTGTGGAGAGGTCACTTTCCTTCCTTTGGAGTTGTTTATTTTGTACTGTAATTAGATGTCCGTTTGCTTAGCTGCTTACCTGAACATACGCTTATGTTACCTTGGTGAACCCAAGTTTGTTAAACCCTTTAGTCGACACTCTCCTCAAGGGTGAATCTTAACGTTTCTTTTCCAAAGAGATTCCAAGGTCCATTTGTCCTGTATAGGCGGCTTCCTACCCAGGTTCTGCACCCATGCCCTGCTGTGGAAGAGTGACTGGGTGGGAGTGGGAGGTGGCTTGCTATAACCATTTTCCATCTGGGTAGTTGCTATGTGATGTGAGAAGGTCCTGGATGATTGTCTGAACTCACCACATTTCTTGAGTTGGGGTGGAGCTTAGGTCCTGCATCCAGGAACAACCCCCGCCCCCAGCAGCAGTCTCCCTGATGAAGGCTTGCTGTTCAAGGAGGCTGGCAGGGCAGGGGAGGGACGAGTGGACAGTGGTCTGATGGGCAAGGAGACTGGTAGGATGGGAAGGATGAGTGTGGGGGTATCCGTGACAAACACCTGGACTGGGTTTCCAGGGTCAGCCATCTTTTAGGTCTAGAGTGCCCTGTCCTACCGTGGGCAGGAGGGTGCCTGCCACATGGGGCCGTGGCTGGCTCTTCACTGGGATGGGTGGCATAGGCTAGGTGGAAGGACTAGGCTTAAGGAACTTCCCTTTCTTCCCCCTTTTCTTTTGGTTTTGGTTTCGCCTTTTATTTCTCTGTGGCTTTATTGGGAAGGTGTAAGCTCAGTGCACTCTTAGACTGCGTTAGTCTGACGCTAGTTGGAGGCAGGTCTTAGTGACTTACTTGCACAAGTCCAGAGATGTCTGTGGTCGCTGAGTATCGCTCTTGGCCATCCTTGGGTTCTCCGAGGCTGTTGTTCCCTTTGTCTTCTGGTCCAAGACAGAATGCATAGCAGGCAGGAAGCGTGCCCTGTGCGGAGCTGTGGGGCTCTGGTGCTCGGGCGTGACTGGTAATCGGCGTGTTTCCACTTTCCCGACTTGTCTGGCTCTGCTCTGGCTTCACGTACTTTCTCCTAGGCCCCAACTTCGTGTGTTAGAGAGGGAGAAGAGGCTGGGAGAGCTAGCGAGGAAGGTGCTGTTGGCTGTGAATGGAAGTATACAGTGAGGTACTCCACGGAAGAGTTAACTAACGGGGGCCCAGGATGGAAGGGAGCAAGACCCCCTCGCCCCAGAAGCTATGAGAAGTTCAGCTCAATTGTGGGAAAACCTTAGACACTTTACTGTATTTAATAAGCATTTTAGTTGCGTTTCAGCGAATTAAAAATTTGTGACTGAAGCATTATCTTGACATTCTTATATATGAACTTCCAAAGGCATTAAGCCTTATTTATTATTAAATCCTAAGGATTTTCTGTAAGGTTTTTTTGCAACCTGTTTAGTTTTTGTCATTTAAAATGCCTAACTTTTTAGGTGCACAAGCCCGTGGCTTTGTGTACCAGAACCAGAGCAATCCACTGATTCATATTGGATCCCAGGTACGTCTCCTGCTGCTGGTACATGTCAGGGAGGCACTTGTTACACACCTCACCTGCCTTTTCTGGATATTGCTGAACGGCTAACTCTGTCGTGTCTTGGTAGGAAATCTTTTCAGCAGGATGGGCCGAAAGCACAGGTGCTTGCGCTGAGAAGACGCCCTTCTAACCAGCTACGCTAGGAGGAGGCTGTGTGGTGCCCTTGGTGTCCTCTACTGATTTTAAAAAGATTGTGGAAAACTGCAGGTCCTCTAGAGAAGCCCTCTGTAGTCTTTATTGAGCATTTCTCACAGATGGAACAGGCAGACAGGCGTGCTCCCGCGCTGTGTCTGACGGTTTAATACATTCCAGGCAGTAGGCCTCTTGACTTTTTTAACACAATTTTCTGCTTAACTACTTTTTATTTTAAGGGTACCTGCAGTGGAAGCTGACTTTTAGGACTAACACTTTTTGCGTTCTGCAATGTCGTCTTAGCGCACACATTCTGGCCGGCATGCTGCACCCAGCCCACACTGAGGCTGGCAGCTGAGGAGCAGCCGGATGACCGAGGTTCTCACCATGAGCTTTGCTTTTGCAGGTGTGGGATCCAGAGCTGCGTCCCGACGGCTTTCCCTCCCAGGTTCGATCTGCTGCTTCATTTCAGGTGCCGCTGCGGCAGAGCCGGCTTCCTTCTGTTTTCAAGGCGTCCCTCCTTCTCACACGTCTGTCCCTCCTGCTGTGGGGTCTACGCTCCTGTCCAGGCCAGGGCTCTGGCGCCCTCCTCACGTTCTGTTTCTCTTCCCGCCCGTGGTCACATCCAGGTGCTGTCCTCCCTGCCCCACTTCCCCTGTCGTCCCGCTCTCTTCCTCCGAGGCTGCGGCTTCCGTGGTTCCCACACCTCCCTTCACCGGCAGGATCCCCTTTGGTGAGAGGGGAGCCTTGTGAATGTCTGCACGGTGGCCACAGTTCCAGTTTCTTTAAACCTTTTGCCTCGACAGGTGTCTGCTCGGGATTTTCCTCCAGCAGACTCGGGTTGGAGACGTAACTCTTGCTTGTTATTTTGCAGTTTGACTCTGGGCGTGTGTGGTGACCTACTGATTCCGTCGTCCTTCAGTGTGTGGTCGGCATGTCATTAACCAGCCCTCTTTGTTTTTGCCCTCTGCCTTTGCAGGACCGGGGCGTGGGTCAGTGTTAGTGCTAGCACTCTGGTTCTGCTTGGAAGTGGTGGCCGTGTGGCCGTTGTACCGCCCTTGCTGATGTGGTCCTCGTCGTTAATGTGTGTGTACCTCCCCGCTGTGGCGGTGCAGCCTGGAGGGCAGTGCTGTGTGGCTGTGCCTGCGCCGACCACTTAGAAACCAGGAGACGCCGCCGTGCTTTCCTCTGGCTCGCTGTCCGCTGCCAGTCACACCCCACTTCCCCGTGTGAGTGATGCCCGTGCTTTACCCTGTTTCCACTTTGCGTTAACCACACGGGAACTCTTTCAGGATATGTGTGTGAAGAATAGTACTGACGTAGGTGCAAAGAAAATGTATTGTTGTGTATATCATTTGTGTGGTTTCATCCCAAAGACATGTTTGAACTGTATTGTAACTTGAAAGTGTGTCAATAAAATCCTGCAGCTTTTCCTCTGGCTCCGCAGCCTTCATTTCCTCGCGTGTCTGTCTGCCCCACTGGGTGCTCTGGGCACGCCTGACCCTGGAACGACAGGGTGGGGAGGGCTGCCCACTGGCACAGCCCACAGCCACAGTGCAAGTGTCTGCTTAGTGGAGCCCTGAAAGCCAAGTGACCTCTCGTCTCCTCCAGGTTCCAGGGGTCCCAGGACTCGGGATTGACTGGGTGATATCTTGGGCCATCACTAGAGTGGAGGAGTTGGTTTCTTAACATTAGTAATGCACTTGCAGATCATTGTCTCAGTTTGGAAAGAAATTGAAACACTGTCATATCGAACAGGAGACGGAGTCTGGTCAGTCAGCCCTAGCAGAACAATGCCCGGCCCCGGGGCAGGCGAGGACAAGGGATGGGAGATAGCCTAACCCAGGATGAGGCCTGGCCTGCAGCGTGTAGTGCTATCTGGATTCTCCTTGCTTCCTTGAACTACAGAGCTGCTTTTTGGTGCCTTGTGGATGCTAGAAATACAAGATCTTCCCACAGAATAGCAGGAGCACAGGATGGAGCAGATAAGCATGGTCCCTTCTGCGGCCCTGCCGTATCCCCACGGCAGAGGACAGCCCTCCTCGGTCCTGCCGTGTCCCCTGCACCACTCACAATGCAGGCCTAACGGTGAGTCAGGATCCACGCTGCTGGACAGAGTCTGGGTGCTCTCAGCTTCTGGTCATGTCTCAGGGATGGCAGCTTCAGTCTGAAGAATGTTGCTCTGTTTTAGTCTGTGCTTAACACGTGCAGAAACCCTTCGAAGTAGCCAAGTAAAAATAGTAAGGTAAGATTAAAGTCCTGGTTCTTAGAAAATCAAAACAGACTGTGAGCCTATTAAGAGAAAGGAAGCACATGTGTATGCAAGGGTAAATGCTGAGGAATGGTTTGGGTTTGTCTTTGTTTTTTGGGGTTTTTTTTGTTGATTTTTAAAAAATTTTTATATATATGAGTGTATCGCCTGCATATATGTAAGTGCACCCATGTTGTGCAGTGCCCTCGGAGGACAGAGGAGGGTGTGGGATCCCCTAGAACTGGAGTACAGGCAGTTGTTAAACCACCATGTGGGGCTAGAACCTGGGTCTTCTATAGAAGTAGCCAGTGTACTTAATGGCTGAGCCATCTCTCCAGCTCCCAAAGGGGGGTTTTAATATTGTGGCAAAGTACATCACATCAGATCTGCAGTCGGGCCTCCATACAGTTCTCCTGGGTACTAAGCACCCTAGACTGCTCAGAATTGTTTTCAAGCTGCAGAAGGAGGCTCTGACTTCCCCAGCAACTGCCATCCTCTTCTTTGGATTTCATGGCTAAGTAAACTGTTAGAAGAGGAATTACACAGGACTTGTCATTTTGTGACTGGCTTCTGGCACGTAGCACAAGGTCCCCAAGGTCGGTCTGTGCAGTGTGTATCTGAGCTTACCCTTTAAGGCCACTACTAGGTGTAGGCCATGTTCTTTCTCTCCATCTGTTGAATGTTGAGGGGGCTTACACCTCTTGTAGCCTTGAAGATGCTGTTACCATGGATGTTTAAACATCTTTAAATCCCGCCTTGTGTGCAGAAATGTAGGTGCTGGGTCCTGTGATGATTCCAATGAACTTGTGAGTTTCTGAGTCTGTACAGTGACTGCACCATGTTACCATCTATTCCGTGGAGTACCTGGATCTCACTTGCTCCCACCCCTCACCACTGTCATTGATTTCTGTGACAGTCATCCTAGCAGGTCTGTGGTGGTATCCATGGTTTTGATGTGTCTTCTCGTGATGAGACTAAACACTGGTGCTCGTGCCTGTTTGCGTCATCAGCACCAACTTTGGAGATCTGTGTAAAATACACTTGAAGATCTAGACAATACGGATCATTTCCTAGGAAAACCCAGTTGACTATAAGACCCTAGTGGAAATCTAAAGCTTACCTGGTCTCTGTAGAAGCAACAGCATTGTCAAAGTCATCATGCCAAAAGGCAACTGGCCCATGCTGTAGTTCTTACAGAGCAAGTTCATCCTTAAACCTAGGTAATGGTATTTCTGAATATCAGTGCAACAGAAATCTCGGATAAAATATTGCAGAACCATCCCACATTAAGGAACAGCATTGTGAGATGCTGAGCCTGTGAACTGCAGCAGAAGCCGAGACCCTGAGCTCAGATCCCCAGCCTCCACCTAAAAAGCCATGTGTAGGCCGGGCGTGGTGGCGCACACCTTTAATTCCAGCACTTGGGAGGCAGAGGCCAAGGTCCAGACCAGCTGTGGCTACAGGGAAACCCTGTTTAAAAAAAAAAAAAAAAAAAAAAAAAAAAAAAAAACATGTGTGGTGTCATGCCTCTAGTCCTGAGACCAGTGGAGCCCTGCAGTTCATGACCGGCCAGTGAACTGAATCAGTGAGCTCCAGGTTCAGCAGGAGGCTGCCTCAAAACATGACATTTAGAAAATCGCCATGGCCTATGAGGTTTATGCTGTACATGCTAGGATAGTTCAGAATTGGGAACTGTAGTGATAATTTACCATGTCTATGACTGTAAGATGGATCAGACCCAGGATGGTAGGAAAGGGTAAAATGTGTGTCTGCAGTTCTGGAGGTGAGGCCACCTCGCCCCTGAGACACCCTTGCCAGGAACAGCCAGGACAGCTGCTTCATGTCCTGGAGTCACTAGCTGATAAAACACCCAAGTAGAGGTCTAAGAGTAGGAGAAGGGATAAAGGTTTCCTGTTGCAAATGACATGATAACGTACCATGCAAACCCTAGAAATCAATGGTGAATTTGCTTTGAAAAATAAGAATACAAGCTAACCACCAAACTCATATGGAAAACCCCTCTAGTCTTCATCTTTGCAAATAGTAAGTAACTAAAGATAACATGAAAGAGGAAATTGTCTCTTATAATGGCAACAAAAAGAATAATAGATTTTAAGAAAGAGTGGATGGATGGATGGATGGCTCATGTTCCTTAGTGGCTGTTAGTAGGATGCATTCAAGTCAGTTGGTGAGTATGATAATTACCTGTAAGTTTGGTTGACCACAGTGCCCCACAGAAACAAAGGCAGGAATTGTTCCTCTTGGCTCATGATTTCATGGGCATCAACCCATCATGGCAGGAGGGCATGGCTAAGCACAATTGCTGAATTCATCACCACTGCTAGGGAACAGAGAGAACCCTACACGGAGCCCCCCCCCCCATGAGACACAGCTCCAAGCCATGCCCCAGTGACCTCACACCGCCTGCTTTTTAAGCCTCCCCCTCCACCCCCCCAGCAGTGCCACCATGTCATGAGTCCACCAGGAACCAGTCCACAGGTCAGGCCAGAGTCCTCAAGATCTATTATCCTGGGAACACTAACACTCAAGTTTGCTTTGCCAAGCCCACATATCTCAGTCTCTCACAAAACCTTATCAGCTTGATGTAGTACACATCTCTAAATCGTAGCATTCCACTTGTGCCCCCCCCCAAGGCCCATGACCACCTTGTAAGGCAAAGTGTATTCAGTCAGTCCATCTCCCCAAGTCTCCATAGTCTTTACTATCTCCCAAAATTGTTCAAAAGCCCAAGTTCAAAGTCTCTTCTGAGATTCAAGGTAAAGGTATATGTGAGCCCCTGTAAAATAAAATTAATAAAAAAGAAACATGCTTCCAACATACAGTGACATGGAGTGAACATTCCAAACGGGAAGAGCAGGACCATAGCAAGGGAGGGCTGGAGCGATGAACCATCACTGCAGACATTAGAGCCACGGCTCCATGTCTAAATCTCCAGCAGATGGTGCCATGAGGAGAGCTCTGAGGAGCTAGGCAGCCTCTGCCCCCACCCCCGTGGCTTTAATATGTACGCACACTAAAAAGAAAAGGGCACCATACATTCAACAGTTCCTCAGACTGCTCAAGGAAAGGCTGTCGATTCATGAGTGAGGAGGGAGATCACACTTTGCTCTTGTGCTTCCACTACACAAGCAGGGTTTCACAAAGACATTTTCCTACAAGTGTGTAAAGTCCTTTGAAAAACACTTGCCTAAAATCTTGAGTTGCCCCATGCGGCCCAGAGACCCAGTTGAATGCATTGCTCATCTCATTGGAGAAGCTGCTGCTCGAAGCAGATAGTGATTAACGCAGAAACCCACAGCTGAGTAAGAGCCTGCAGAGTCCTCCCCAGACACCTGTATCAAGCACTTCTCCCCAAGGCCCGGGGTCACCAGTAGAGGAAGTGGAAAGATTTAAGAGCCCAAGGTGGTGGACGAACACAAACGAGGAAACAGTGTTTCCAGACGGGGACAGCTACTCATGGATTCCCAGCAATGGCGACAGCACCTGCAAGGCTCTAAGCTCAAGGCAGACCGATTTCCAGTAGAGGCGGGGCGAAGGGAAGAAGGACCCAACCCCTGCAGAGGGACTGTTAGTGACTGACAGCTGCTGGGAGAGGGAGTCAGTTTTTATGCACGTGACACTGGGTAGGTTGACAGGCTCCAGGGGATGGACCCACACTGAAGGCCATTTGGAGACACAAATTAGACTCAATAGACCTTTAAAAATGATAGCGAACATGAAATTGGGTAGGAGTGTAATAGGTGTGGGAATGGGGAGGGAATCTAATCAAAATATAGTGTATGAAATTCTCAAAAATTCCATAAAAATTTAAAAAAGATAATGTGTAGTTATATCTATTTTCCTTCCAATGGCATAATTTTCTTTTTTATAGCTGAGTAGAATTCCACTGTGTATACAAACTGCATTTTCTCTACCCATTCCTCTGTTGATGGACACCTAGGTTGGCTCCGTAGCTTAACCAGCTTAACTGCTGTGGATAGCGTCAATGAACATTTACGATCAGGGATCTGTGACATGTCGACTAAGTGTTATTAGTTACTTCTCTGTTGCTGAGATAAAACACCATGGCCAAGGCAACCTACTGGGCTTGCGGTTCCAGAGAGTTAAGAGTTGTGGCAGGGGAGGCGTGGCGACACGCAGGCCTGGCAGGCTGCAGGAGC